CAGACACACTGCATTAGTGCGCATGTGCATTAGGTCTCCCCGGCCGGTGGGCGGGATCACTCTCGCCCATCGGCCGACTCAGTCAGAAGGAGGAGTGGCGCGGATGGAGAAGCAGCGACGTGGGACATCGTCGCTGCCTCAGGTAAGTTACTGAAGGGGTTTTTACCCCTTCAGCAACCGGGGATTGGGGGGTGGGAGGGAGAGGGAACCTGCAGTGCCAGCAAAATGGATTGTTTTCCTGGCACTGGAGTTTCCATTTAAGAGAGGCCGTTCTTTTACATGCATTTCTTTTCTTTTTTTTTTTTTTTAAGAGCAGGTCAGTTTCCGACAATCTGACAATACAAAATGTCTTCATTAACAGACAATTTGTCATGTTCAGACGGGTTGAAGGTGACCAAGGTTGTCTATTGTGTGGTAGACATTTTTTCTGAGAGCTTTTTGCATGGATTTTGAGTTGTGAAAAGAGGGTAAATTATTGGGTAAATTATTTTTAAAAAGCTTATTTGCCCAACCAAAATTTTCATTTTTGTTTCCAATAACCTCTCACACCAGCACTTAAGTATACACAACTGCCATGCTATGCAACCATACCCCACAATCATTTATAAATGATTAACATAATTTCAAATTACATTTTTTTATTGCGAAGTAATTTAATTTGCAAATTATGCCATAACTACAGTCAGAGAGCTCGCAGTGCAGCGGGATTCGGCACACTGAATAAAAACTAACTCCCTGTATCCAACACTGAAATCCCAGCCTTCAATATAACTACAGCTCCCAATACACACACAATGCAAGCCTTATTTTCTATAGGTGTTAGTGGGGACCTCATGTTTGAGTTTCGCCTAAAGCCTCACAAAGTCTAGAGCTCCGAGACACAGAGATACACAGACACATATATGTATTGTAGGCACAGTCATGCATACACACACACACACACACACACACACGGATATACACTCACAAATGCACAAGGATACTAGTCAGTGAGGAGGCAAGACGCTCTTGAGTGAGCATGTGTACTGTATGGCTGTCGCATTCAGAATGACTGAGCTAGTAGAGCAACGAATCTGCATCAAATTTAGCGGTAAGCTTGAACATTCCCCTATGGAAACTATTCGTGTGATTCAGAAGGCTTTCAGGAATGATACAATGAGTGCCGCTCAAATAAAAGTGTGGCACAAACACTTCAAAGATGGTTGAGAATCTCTTAAGTCATCCATGTTCTAAAAAGCCTGCAACAAGCAGAACACCTGAGAATGTTCAACAAAGTCGCAGAAAAATCAAGACCATGTTAACTGTGTTTTTTTGATTGGGAAGGTTATCAATCCCGAGTACGCTCCTTCAGGCCAAACAATTAATGAGTACTACTTCAATGTTCTTCGTCAGTTGACAGATGTCATAAGACGAAAACGGCTGCAGCTATGGGCAACTGGTGATTGGCAGCTTCATCACAACAATGCTCCCAACTATGCATCACACCTTGTGCAGAATTTTTTGTCAAAATATCAAATCACGCAGATGACTCAGCCCCTATACAGACCAGATTTGGTACCCTGCGACTTTTCCCAAAACTAAAATCACCTTTAAAAGAGAAGAGATTTCAGACCGTTGATGAGATTTAGGTAAATACGACAAGGCAGCTGACGGCGATTCCAACAAAGGATTTTGCAGAGTGTTTTGAACAGTGGAAGAGAAACAAAGGGAACTGTATGAGGTCCCAAGGTACCTACTTTGAAGGGGACTGAGGTGTCATTGTCCTATGTACAATGTTTCTTATATCTTGTATCAATAAATGTCTATTTTTTATAGTACATGGCTGGATACTTTCAGGACAGACTGTGTGTGTGTGTGTGTGTCTCTCTCTCTCTCTCTCTCTCTCTCTCTCTCTCTCTCTCTCTCTCTCTCTCTCTCTCTCTCTCTCTCTCTATATATAGATAGATAGATAGATAAAAACACACACACAAAACTGAGTGCATATTGAAACAATGTATAGGTGAGAGGAATATAGCCTATGTGAGGAAATAAAAGTTTTTACATATTTAGAAATGTAATTCATTTACAACTCTTTTTCCTTATCTTTAACCTCATAAATTGGTAAATTTGCTTTTTTTTTTAAAAACAAACAAAACAAAACGTTTTGCTGTGCAGACAAAATGTTTATGTTTCCATTAAATAATACTCTATCTTTAAATACTGAAATCAAAAATACATTTTAACATTACTTTCCAAGACACCAAAAATACTTGGATTCTGAGAGTGTTTTGCTTGCAAATTGCTTGGTAGTGGTTAGTGTATTTTCGTATCATATTTTGTGTTGTAATAGGAACACTTTAAAAAGAAATTCTGCAATTTGCAAGCTGCAAAGTTTGCATTAGACTTGGCTGTATTTATGTCATTATGTTACGGTTTAATGTGTTTAATGTGTTCTCCTGTATGTTTTTAGCTGATTGGTAGGCAAGTAGCCATACTTATGCTTTTATGAGAACTTGCTCATTGCTAGCTAACATGTTAAAGAGGAACTGTCACTTCCCAGGATTTTTTTATATTCTGTTTACTTATCCTCTATATTTAGCATATATGTTTTTGTGAGATCTGGAAAATACTCTTAAAAGTATAAATCCACGCATCTATCCTGAAAGTGGGTGCCTCCATCTTGACTCATAGTTAGAGGGACATTATAGGCAACCAGACCACCTCATCTTATTGAAGTGGTCTGGGTGCAGTGTCCCTGTCCCCTTAATCCCTTTCAAATGTTTATTCAATAGAACAGAGGCAGGGAACCCCTTTTGCTGCCAAGGACCATTTGGATATTTATAACATCATTCACGGGCCATACAAAATCAAACTTTAAAAAAGCCTGCTATATTTGGTCAAACATTTAATTAACTCATTCCTAATGTGATGGCTGGAACTGCTTCACTTTGGTGAGGCATGAGAGGTTAGCTGGTATTGCTGATGTTGCTACTATAAGTCAGTCTGGAGCAAAGTCGACTTTTTGCGATGCTCACTACAGACAAGCTCACTGACACATGCTCACTACAGACAAACTCACTGACACACACGTGCTCACTACAGACAAGCTCACTGACACACAGGCTTATTGCAGACAAGCTCACTGACACACACATGCTCACTGCAGATAAGTTCATTGACACACACATCAGATCAGGGGCAGAACCAGCAGCAGCAAACTGGAATAAAGGCAAGATTTTACTATATTTAGGGGGGGCAAGTGGGAGTTCGGGGTCTGATGCAATTGCAAAACAGAATGCAGGGTTTTTTTGTAATTTCAATTTAGATGTAGCTATCTTGTTACAGTGAAGATTGTGACAACCACACAACTGGATCAGTTATTTAAAAAGACAGGTCCTCTCATTCAAGTAAGATGTTGCGTATCACAGTGTCTAACACACCATAGAAGTGGCAAGCAGGCAATGCTGTAGAGATGGGTGTGATGGGAGTTGCACTGCATTCAAGGCAGGTAACACTGCTAGCCATGGGCCGCTTTCTGTGAAATCTGTTGTACACATCAAACTAATAGGGCTAGGTGTGCTTCTCCTCCAACACTGGGTCTCAACATTAAATAAATAGATACACGGGGGCCCGTAGCTGCTACCCTCAGTCAACATCTATAAACATACACACTTCATAGCAACATAGTAACCGCCTGCATTGTGCCTGATGTCTCCTGCCTTAGTGTTTCAAGCCAGGTGAAGGTGATATACCGTCTGGCATCACATGTGGGACAGCACGACTGTTATGGGTGCTTGCCAATTTTACTGCTCATGCAGAGGGTTTCTGATATATTCCTCTTTTAGTGACAGCCCGAGTATCATTTATTGGGTTTGGATAAAGATCCAGTCAAAGAGAGGGCTATTTTCATTCTGCAACCCAGTATCCATGGTAACAAGTTTATGTATTGCACCACATTGTAGCTATAATTCACCACTTTCGTTTATGCGTTGCAGAATGCAGCATCATAAGCCGGCCTATCCAGCCACACCCACTCCCTTCAGACAAAGACTTCCTTGTCAAATGTATGTCAAAGACATCTCTGGAGTAAAAAATTCAACTCAATATACAACTTGAGTGTGAATCGCTTAGTATAGTTCTGAACAACTTTTTATAGTTAATGTTGTAAATAGGCACAGCTCAGAAAAAAGGTAGCATTTTTGAACATTCCCCAGTTTAGCGCTCTAGAATACAGTGACTTTGATGATGAACAGGGAAATTAAATGTGAATTTGCCCTTTGGTAACATATAGTTACTCTCAGATAATCACAAGCCTGTGCTATTATAAGAATCTGCTGTGTTAATTTAATTGCCACAAGTAATGTTTCTTATCCTTTAATTAAATATTGCATTTGGAGGGCTCTCCCTTGTGTGTTGTATTTAACATATCTGATGGTAAAATATTACAGTGTAAAAAAACACAGACATGGAGAACAGTGTACTTACTACACACTACCTAAGGCAAACTGCACAGTATTATAAAGCCATCAAAATCCAGGTCACTGCAGCTGGCTCTCTTGCAAGCCGGAGGGTAATCTAATATGATTGAAAGTGAATGGATGTTAGATGTGTCTGCTTAGGGTTATTGTGTTGCTGAAGACCTACCATTGCATAAAATGTATCAGACAAATGAAAGATTACAATATACTTCAAATATAATCATTTGTATTCCTGTGATTCAAATAAGGAAATGGCTTGCTAATGGTGTTTCTTTCTCTATCTATATCTCACGTCGGAGTCAGTTGGATGTGACTGGCACCATTTAACAATTGTACTGAAACGTGAGATTTTTTTATTTAACGGTTTTAAGCATTTATACTTAACACATCTCACAGTTGTATACACGTTTACAAGACATTGTACCAGAGGGACCTTTGTTGTTAGAAATGAAGCCAATCACCTGTCAATCACTGTTGGCCTTGAAAAGATTAGAGCCACGGTGCTGGGCCTAGGGTCACCAAAGGTAAACGCCTCCAGGATTAAATTCTAAAAAGACATTACTGAGGAACTGCAGTGCACCAGTGTGAGCAATTTATCACCTGTTTGATCATTTGGTCAAGAAGCTTTTAACTTTGTGAACACTGTTATAATTCCTTACAGACCTTTTGTTTCTCACATTCACAAAGCTACAATTATTCTTTGTCAGCACACTGCCACTTGTACTAAATCTTTTTGTTTTGTTTAAAACATTTCTTAGTCTGTGATTGAGAGGCATTCAGTCTCCATTAACATTGCCTTTCCAATTCCTGTCTCTTTAAGGCCGCTTTCCATGTATTCCTGCCCAGTCTGGTCTTATAATACGGACTCCTATTTTGGGCAATTTTCCTTTGCAATGATTTTAAAGGTGCTATTCACATGTCCCACCTGTGAACTGTCAAACAGAATTTTATGGATTAGTAACTCCTGTGCAGAACAAGAAAATAAAAAAAGTGTCAGCACTAACAATCAATATTTTGTGTGGGATGAAAATATACAATAATGGGATGGGATTAATCATGGAGATGATGCTAATTCATTAAAGAAAAACATAAAATAAAAAATGGACGGGTTTATTCATTACTCATTGACTTGCAGTTAATTGATAACCAAACTGCAAATTTCAGGCAATAAATGTCAATATTGACAAATACATTCACAGCTATAGCAATTGTCACGACTTGACTATTTTAGTTTGAATTTGGCAATTCAGCTTTCAGATCTGTGATAATGAAACATTCTACGCACCATCGCCACTACAACATACTGTAGTGGTTATGGTACCTGGTGTACTCTGGCACCGCCTGCCCCCCCCTCCCACAGTAAGCAGTCATACCATTTTAGTACCCCGAGGCCAGTCTTATCCTACAGGAGATTCCAGTTAGCTCTACCAATGGCCGCGAATATTGGCAAAATGTGTCAGCTTAGCTCGTTCTGCCCATGAACGTGATTCTGTATTGGGCGTGTTTTATTCTGTAGATACATATGGCTTTAAAAGGTTGCTGGTAACTGTAAAACTTGAGTGCTCAAGGATTTTTGGACTCATTGTACACTGAAAACACATTAATCACTTTGTAATCCTGATTCCACGGTTTTTCAAGGTTCACCCATTATCGCCAAAAGGGCATGCTATGTCATCCTGCAGTAAGCGGGCTTAAATGCTTTTAGGGTGGCATAGCATCCCATAATGATTTAGCCTTCCCTGTGGACCTCCTCCCTTTCCATGCTGCAGATCACGCTCAGTAGACCCGTCTGGCAACCCAGGCAGTCCCTCTGCATCAAATTGTGGCAATCTGCAGCACGTGATCGTGGTGACAGCCTGTCACTGCGATCAAAGTACCAATGTCTCCATCAATGATTTGTAAAATTGGCCGAGACATTGCCTCTGTCCGTCTCTTCTCCTCACTTTGATCTGATGCGAGAGAGGCAGAGAGATCATTGCTTAAACTGTGCTATAGTGTTAAAAATAATTGCAAAAAAAAA